GTAATTAAATTAATAATACACTAAAATCCTCTCAAGCAAACACAAACACAACCAATCACACATACGAGGATTACACACACTACCATCACATTCTTCATCTCGACGCTTCTATAATAAGTCTCAATAATCATCTCCTTCAGTTAGGCTAGCTCTATGTCTGTTTTCTTAATGCAATGCCGAATCGTTGGTTTATCAACACAATCCCGTATGGCCTGGCTCTGGTTACTTTTGAAGTAACGAATTAAATCAGCTTGTTGTTCCACCACCACCTTTATCTCTTCAAACTCTTCCATTATAGCGTCATCCCACCACTTGAATATATGGTACAAACCATCCTATATACAAAAGTAATTGCTATTATAAATTTATATATAAACGCCAATAGCAAACAAACAATAGTTACAAAATTCATTACCGCATGGTTATGACAACCATAGAATCTCTGACCCGGATTGTCGGCAGTAGTGGATGTTTTGATAACTGGCACTAAACCGCAGTAACAACTGTTGGGAAAACCAGAGGTTCTACCTGCTCGACACCGAGCAGTGGAACTCTCACTCTTTATGGAACTACTTGACTGTTGTGTGTAGCTGTATTGACCCATCTCTGATGACCATATAACAATAACTCATTAAATATGCAATTTRGTGTTATTATATTGAAAAACAATTATAWTCTGCTCRGTGTAGACTTCTTTGTCAGTCTACCGTGTAGACTTCTTTGTCAGTCTACATATACTTTTTCAAGTCTATTATTGAACAAAGAAAAATTAACAACAAGAACAAAAAACTTATTGTGACGGAAGTGTGACTTAGATTTGGAATAATAAGAGAGAAACAAATGTGAATAAAGGGTTAAAGACATGTGTGAAGATAAAAGGAGATGAGAAAGATGGAATATTTGTTAAAGTTTACCGGCTCGAAAGGAGGTTATATGAGGACGACGAAAGGTCAAATCTGCAACAAACCATAAAGAAGACCATAAATAAGTGATATATAGAGTACATATAAGAAAGGAGGATGAGTTATAAAAAATGAAGAACAAATACTTACTCCTTCAAGAATCGGCATAAATGGAGGAGCGGCGGCGGAGGTTACCGGCAATAGAGGAAAGACTGCCGTTTAAGAGAGAGAGAGAGTAGAGGCGGTGAAGGTTTTTTTAACAAAAAATTAGGGTTACGGAAAGTATGAGTTTATATAGGCAGATAAAAACATTCGGTTAGATTAAAATTTCTGGTTTAGTAGACTTCGCTATGAAGTCTACAATGCCCTAAACTCTAAACCCTAAATGTAGACTTCTCGAGAAGTCTACCGAAAATCCGGATCAACTATTTTCGATGAATTATTCAAAACCCTAAATAAAAACTTATTTCAACATTCAAAAAGTTTAATATATTCACAAATTAACACTTTTATTC